TGCTACTTGCTTGTAAGCATCAATGATGCGCATCAAACATGACTTCTGTATATTGTCTCTTTGTTCATCAGGCAGACGCACAACAGGTGCAGACATCTTTGGAAGCACCAACTGTGGAGACTGCCCGACAGATGTTGCTGTTGATGAGTGGGTGTTGGTAGCATCTGTATCTGCTGCTTTAGGACTAAATTCCTCAGATCTATCAGTCGAAAACGATGGAAGTACTTCTAACTGTGGCCTAGCTAGACCGGAAACAAGCTTTTGATTGACCTCATCAAGGTCAGTAGAAGCTGGCAAAGGAACAACTATGCCTGCTAATCCATCACTCTGGGAAAGATAATCTACACCAGGTATTGAATTCTTCATATTCCCAATGTCAGCAACTTCAGATGCAATCACTGAAATATTCTCTATTGCTGAAGGATTGCCTTCACAAATAGAAACAGGTTTTTGAACTTGATCGCTTCCATAGTCTTGGGAATCAGATGCAGCCTTACACTGAGCAATATTCAAATGTTGCTCCTCCGGTCCAGATTGCTGCAAACTCAGTATATTATTAGGTACAGCATAGCATATATTCAATAAAACTGAAAAGATAAGAACCTATCAGATGGATTAGGCTTCGAGAGTGAACAACAAATTTCATAATGCAAGTACATGGAAACCAAAGTCCACTACTGAGATAAATCCAATTCATAATCAAGCAAGTCATTGCAAACTTTCAAAAAGGAATGCGGACCTCAAGCTCACAAGATAATTGAGCATCAACAGAACCATCGTTCAGTTGCAATGCGCTGGGCTGTAAAAAGATATCAGTCAACAATGAAGACAATTGTCTTAAGCCAGTTCCAATTGTGCTAGCACCAAAATGTGATCCTGCCACCAAAAGTTCATCTTCTACTGCTGAATTGGGTCGATTTGGTGGGACATTTCGCATGTTGGCCATCACAACTTCAGCCAGCAAGTCTGCTGATATACTCGAGATAAGAATTTCTAGTGATGGCATAGCCTTTTCACCCTTTGCAACTAATGCACCAAACATTGCAACAAGTTGCTTCACAGCGTTGCTATCACTATCTGGTCTAGATGTAGTTGGTTCGCTTGAACATTTATCCCGTTGAACATTAAATTCTCCTTTCACTTCTGTGCCAGCAGGAGTTGGTTTTGAACGTTTTCGAGACATCTCATCATCAACATCGACCAAATCAGCATTAGATTCAATCTCTGAACGTTTTCTCCCAGCAGGGCTAGAACCAGTATCCACTGCTTTAATTGACGGTTTGGCGTCCTTAAAAGAATTGGCACTTTTTAAGAAACCCACTCTCATACAGAAAAAAAAGATACTAGGTGATATACATCAGTAACAGAAAATAAAATAATGGTATGTACCTCTGAGTCACATAACTCATGCTTTAGCTGAGCATTCCCATTCCTCAGGGAAACCTGGTGTACACCTTGATCTGTCTGTCCTCCAGGTCTCATTCCTCTCAGTGCACCAATTAATCGATCCCTCCACTTCAATTGGGAAAAAATCCAAAAAAAAAAGTTTCAAGTAATTTAAAATAAAAAACAACAATGGAGCCTTAAAATTTTAAAAACAAAAACAAAAACAAAAGAAAAATCAAAGGTGTCTTAGCCAAAGAGTTTGTTTGGCTTACAACCAAAGTGGGATAACATAAAATAGGGTAGCAAATAGTTAAAACAAGATACCTTCCGAATAAAAAGGAAAGAAAATAAAAACTGAAACTAATGACAAAGCCAAAAGGGAATTTAAGAGAACAGTCGGGACACGAATATGAATACAGGAATGCACATATAGAAGCATGAACCAGGAAATAGAAATACCGGGGCAGAACCAGGGTGTGTACAATTCAAGCAAGATAGGAATGCATTCTTCAGAGAATGATGCACTGCAGAAACATACTTCCCATTGATGTCAGATTTTGAAGGATCTAGGCCCATTAAAACTGGAAGAATACGACCATAAAAAGCTGGCCTTTTTGTGGCAATTTCTGAAAGGCTACAAGAAGTGAGTAAACTAATGTGAGTATGGGACTAAGAAGAAACTGAATACTAGCAGTTATGAATTAGAAGCAAATAAAATACATGATGCTGATGTGCCATCTCATAAACTAGTATTGATTGTGGATTCATACCTATTGATGACCACAATGGACATCAAGTGACTTAATGACTTCATGGCTGAAAACCTTAACTGATCAAGTAGTAAGCTCAAACTATTGCTGGCTTTATCTGATAACTCTCCAACATTAAGTATTGGATGACCTCCACGAAGCCATGATATGTTGAAGTCTTCAAAAATTCCTGAGTTATGTGTAATAAGTTTGCAGGAGAAACCGATAAACTTCATTAAATAGCATGCATCATTTGAAAAAGAAAAAAGAGAAAAATATTCATTCAGGAATTTGACTATTGACAGCAGAATGGCAGATACCGTCAGCACTTAAATCAGCAGGTGGCACTGAGCTGACACTCGGATTGGACGTGTAAAGAAGAATGACAGATTCCACAAACTTTATTGCCAGTAAACTTCTTCCATCAATTTCTGGCTGTCATAAATGTGACCAAACCCTAAATGACTCGTAAAACATACAAAACTCTATGCTTTTAAATTTTAAAGTACCTGGAATGCCACGGCATATATTTCATCCATGAACTTCTGTGTGCACGCCCAAGCTGATTCGAGTGAACTATCCAATTCGCTTGAATACAAGCCCTATACCAGGAAGGTTATGGGTTAGAAGTTTAATGTGAGACAGGACTAACATGGACTCAGAGAAGATGTGCATTGATACAACAAGAGTTTGCTTTGTTAGACATCCTACAAACTCTGTGAGCCTGTGAGGAGTACACGTGAGCGTGAATACTGGAAGATTAGCAATCTGAAATGTTTGGCACTAAATTTCTTTGCATGTAGAGCTCCAGAGAGGTGGCACATTGCTCTCAATCAAACTTTGTACAGGTTGATGATAAATCCGCAGATTATATCGGAATAAGCAGCTTTCTAAGTAAGATGTGCACTAAACTGACCTGAAGTGTAACTTTGAACAGAAGAGAACGAAATATCTCAATTCCACACATAATAGACTGTCGAGCAACAGCAGGTGTGTCATCCTTCAGGGATGTGATCAATAAAGGCACAATTTCAGGAAGGAATTCGATGTATTTGATTCCAATAGGACTTAGCATTCTGCATGAAAAGAAAATGAGATCAAAATGGCTACCTGGTGTCAACTCTAGAAGAACAGCTACAGTTGGAAAACATATTATGCTGATTTCAATTTAGCTCTAAAAAACAGCTGAAAAATAGCAGTGGTGGAATATCAAGGCAATGCCGGACGTGTGATATTCAGACGCTATCTGATGGCTTAGTCTAGACACTAGAATAAGCAGAGTTCAGAATTGAAAACACTTTGCTAGCATGAAACATGAAAATAATGTTAGGAAAGGAAGCGTACTCTATTGTGAATTTGCGAGCTGGACTAAATCGATCTGATACGAGGCCAGTGATAAGAGGGAAGAACTCTGCAAGCAAGATGGAGTCGGCGTCGGAAAGCTCATTCCTGAGCCGGCGCAGGTAGCCCAACTTCGACGGAATAGCTGCAGCGCGCTTGGAAGAGATCAGAAGGCCGGCGACTTTCTCTCTGGAAACTGCCGCCATCGTTCCAACAATAGCTAAACCCCACGAAACCCTAGCTCTACGAGATTAAATCACAGGAGCCCCATGGAGAAAGAGTGCCCTCGCCGGATTTCGTGGCCGGATGGTGAATGTTTGTATACGACAACCGGTACGGATTTCCGGAGGGGAGTTATTAACTTATTACACAGTTCCGCGCCTGAGCTTCCCGAGTTTCAGACGGCCCCTGACCATGTAACCCGAGAATCGTACAAAGTTATTTTGTTTCTTTTTCCTTTTTCTTCTGGTGGTTACTCCGGTGTATAGTGGGACTAACAACTAAAGCAGAGTTCAACTATAGCCCAACTAAAGCCCAAACCAGGTGGTTCCTTTTTTGAGCTCAACCCATCATGTATAATGGGACTAACAACTAAAGCCCAAACCCGACTCGCAGGGGCGGACTCACATGGGTAATTTTTATGAAGTATGTGTTTAAAAAACTCCATAATGTTTTAATATATTAGATGTTTGATATACGGAGTAATAAATATGATAGATATACTTTCTAATGAACGAATAATAATTAATATATGCAATGTATTGTACTATTGTATTTATCTCAATATTGATAATAATAATAATTATTATTATTATTATTATTATTATTATTATTATTATTATTACTATTATTATTACTATTCATTCGACTGAGTCAGGCCGCGAGCTTGAACATTAAGCCCGAGTCTGGCCCACAAGTATGCGGCCCTCGTTTTTAAATCCGTAGCCCGACACATACCCCAAACTATTAAGACCAACCCTGCTATTTTGCGGGCAGGCTAGGTATCTGAGGTCGTAATCAGCTCTACACAATACCCTTCTAGTTCCTATTTTCTAAAATGTTCGTTCTTGATTCTCATTTCTTGTTTGGCAAAATCATGGCCATTTATTCATAAATTTCTTGAATACTTATCTTTTTATTCATATTTAAAACGCTCTTATTTCAAAAGAAAAACATTCTTGTTCTATTCTCTATATGAAATAATGAAATTCTCAAATGATTTTATCTGAAAAAAATTATTCAAGTGTTCTAGTCTCAGAAAATACTCTTTAGAGTTTTAATTGGAATAAATAGGCCATATGTGAAATAAAAAGAATCTTTTCTCACTTAGGATGGGGTTATCCTTTTGTTACAAGTTAGGATCCACACAAAAGGATGAAACCCTTAAAAAATGAGCAAAGGGTAATTGCTCTTTGCTCCCTTCCAAAGGGGTCACCAGTGTGTACTCCAAAATGACAATGAAAACACATTGCACTCTTTCAAAATACTCGTACATTTACAATTTTTTGACTGTACATATTTAATAAACAATTTCAATCATTATTGTGCCATGTTATTTTGATTCTTAAAAAAACACGTAGAACGAAATCCAAAACGAAAACGTACTTACCTTATGATAAGAAAAGGCTATCAGTGGACATTAGTGAGCATATACCACAGTGCCAAGTATGCAATGATACAAACAGAGTACTATATATATATTTACACCATGATCCAAAGTGGCAAGTCTAAAAAAGGGAGTCTCAGACTAAACTGTATATATCTTCTTCACCTTCTTCATGCGCCTGCGACATACGGGGCAAGTCCCTGCAGCCTCAGCTATCCTGCCATGGCCAATAGAGGAATCTTTTCGATATTACAAAGAGGAATCTTGTTTTGGACAAACACATTAATTTCCTTATGACATTAATTTCAGAAAACTCAGCCCAGTATTTTGTTTTAGATGCAAATCAACGAGAACCACTTACTTTAGCCAAATATGGGGCCGTGACCAAGGAGGCTAAAAAAATATTTTTTTTTGTTGAGAAAAAGGATAGCAGATAATCACCTTGTTCCACATTCAAAACAGGACAAGCAGTGACCACATGGGATGAAGAAACAGTCCCTTGGTGCATCAAAGCAAATGGCACAGAGATGAGGCGCATCGCTCTCTTTCACTGTCTTCCCATCACTTGTGTTGATGCTTGTGGTCGCGTCCTCAAACTTTTCATCATCTTGAGAGCAGTAAGAGGAACCCAAACTCGAGCTGTCATCGTGCTTGTGTGAAAGCATAGGGAATCGTTCGGACCTCGTATCTCCTAATTCAGATCTACTACTGTCTTCACGACTCTGCTGCAGATTGACTAGGAAGCGGTGGACCAGTAACACCAGACAGCTTGTTCCACCTGTATACTTTGTAGTTGGAAAGTTTAGTACTTGTTTGGTTGGGGATTTCAAAAGGAGTTGGAGAGGTTATGTTCATTTTATTAGTTGGTTCTTACATTTACCTGCCTTTTGTATGGTTGGAGGATTATGGAGACGATGGAACAGGAGGGGCTTGTTTTTTTATATTATTTATTAACTTACTCTAACATGAGTTGATCTGAAGGAATGTAAAAGTAAAAAAAATTATACGGAGTAGATAGTTACATGATTTAACTAAGAAGATACTTAGTTTCTAATACATCACCAATAAACATCAATAAATAAGTAAAACCAGTTTCCTCAATTCCTCCCTCCCCTGCAAAATCTTCAAACTAAAGAAAGGCTTAAATGGTTGGAGAGAAACAAACAATGAAAAAATTATATAAAAGTACATGGTTTAACTAGCATATGCTCCTTTGTCCCAAAAATAGAAAATCTTACTTGACTAAGGTAAAAGTTTTTTGTTGTTGGTAAACTCAAAAAATGTAGAAAGCTTTGACCAGCTATTAATAATCACTTTGTGTACCTTTTTTTTTCCTAGTAATTGACAAAAACTAGTTCTCACTCAGTTTTATGGAATTTTACTCAAAAACCTAAAGCTGGCTTTTAGAACCAGAATCTTTTCCTTTGTGACTGAAGTAGTAAGTATTTTCTAACTGAACATACAAGACTAGCAATAGAGATATATTAGCAAAACAGGTATCATTCCTCCCCTCCCCTCACCTCCCCTCCGAAATCTGACATCAAACAAACCATTAGGGACAGCATATGGTTATTCTATAATCTATATGTAGATATGGAAAACAAGGAAATGTACCTATGCCAAGAAGGTATGTGATCCATCTAGGTCCATAGGAAATTTTAACAGTCCACACGCTATTAGCTGTATCCTATAAAAATTGAAAAATGATTTTACTCTAAAATCTAATTGACGAGAAGACAAGGCCATACTAAAACATTTTTTAAAAAAACTTACTGGCCTCTTACTAGGAGATTGCAGAAGAGCAACATTTTCACCGGGGAAATTCAGTTTCAATCCACATTGAGCCTGTGTGGTTCTACATTTGTAGTATGCTTCATTAGTATTATAGAGCATAGCACGAATGTTGATTTTCAAGTGAGCCTGTGCCCCAAAAAAATCAAGAAAATCAAATTAGATTAATCCTTTCCCCCAATGCAATAGGGGTATTTGGAATTTTGGATAATGGGCAACACTACGGAGCCAAGGAAAATTGTTTTCATATGTTTGGTTTAAATTGGAAATGATTGTAAGTAAATAATTGTAAATGATTGTAAACCAAACATATGAAAACAATTAAAAGAGTAATGGGCAACACTACGGAGCCAAGGAAAATTGTTTTCATATGTTTGGTTTAAATTGGAAATGATTGTAAGTAAATAATTGTAAATGATTGTAAACCAAACATATGAAAACAATTAAAAGAGTAATGGGCAACACTACGGAGCCAAGGAAAATTGTTTTCATATGTTTTCATATGTTTGGTTTAAATTGGAAATGATTGTAAGTATATGTACGCACACATACACACACACACACACACACATATTTGTTAGTCTTTATATATTAGACATAACTAAATTAAAAGAGTATCAACAACAACCCAGTAAAATCCCGTAAATGGGGCCCGGGGAGGGTGGGTGTACACACACCTTAACCCTACTTCGAAAGGTGAAAGGTTGTATCCGAAAGATGGAAGGACCCCCAACTCAAGCACAAAAGACTTAGTACAATTCCATAGAAAACGGGGACACCGAAACATGAGACCATAAACCACAAGAGATTACACTAAATCAAATATAGCTATAATATAGTATCGGCAAATATCTAAAACAAACTTATTTTTAGCATATTTTTTGTTTTCCCCAACATTCTTTCATTCCAGATTTCTTTTATCCTTTACTTCATAGCTCCTTTCTTTGGAATTTTGTGATCCAAACGAACCCTTAGTAGAGAATTTTTAGTGCATGCCATTAGATTAGTGTGAATGATATGAGCCACTCTAGACAACCATCTTGGTTCATGTAAAGTAAACATGGAGTCCACCATCCTAATTATTTGAATTCGGTAAACACCCCCTTCCTATTTAATCTTCTTTTTTGAATAATGATGTTTGACTGAAGTTATTTTAAATTCAATTTATTTAAATAGTTGTGCAAAATTTATATATATAATGTATATATACTGTAATTAAAAACGACATCAAATGTTCTAGAAAACACAAGGCGTGTTAATAATTACGAGTATATTTTAATAAATCATAAATGATTAGAGAAAATAAGTAGAGATAGATGATATAGGTTGAACATGTGGATAACAAAGGGAAAGATTGAAAGGGGCCAAAGGTAGTGTCAAGGAACCAACTCAACCAAAAGCCTAAGCTTGCGCTAGAAAGGTTTTATACTCTAACATGCTCCCTCGCGTGCAAGCGGTATTTGTGTTTGCTCGAGCCTTGCACGTGGATATTAATTCTTTAAAACTGAGTGGCGGTAAGGTTTGATCTCGTGACCTCTTGGTCAGCACTCCTACCATGTCAAAGAACCAACTCAACCAAAAGCTCAATTTTGTGGTTGTGGGCTCATGAAAGGTTTTATACTCTAATAGGGATTATATATTTTTAAGGTTAAGAAAAACATGAAATCATGTAAAGATGGCATAATTACCTCTACCATTTCGGAGTTCAAGTTACCCACTGCAACATGGTAACTAGAGGACTTGGGTATATCCAGCCAAATAGAGCCATTTCCTGAAAACAGCAATTTAGTGGCACAAACAGCTCATATTTTTCTTCTGTTCTAGAAATGCACAAGGAAGATGCATATGGATGCTCATGTGCTTTGTTTTCTCACCATGAATCAAGCTCCAAGAGTAGGCAGCATTTGGGTAATATGGGTCTTCAAGCCACCGAGCTAAACCTTGAGTTCCTGCAATGCATTAAATTTAAGGGAAAGACACCACTTTATTTCAATACAGTGCACATCTACAACATCAAGACCTGATTAATGACACCATAAATTCACAAAAAATAGGTTTAGAAGCTTCAAGTTGCCCACACCTTCCCTGAAAAGAAATGAAACAACCCTGGCCTTTGGGGTTTGTTGTCTCTACTTTTAGGAGAAATGAATATTTATGGTTTCTGATGTTTAAGATAGTTTGGCTGTATTACAGTAAAAGTTAGTTACTTTATGAAATATGTCCATTTCTTTGAATCAAGTTCTAGCCATAAAATAGCTGAAGCAATTTTTCATTTTCTTGTTATGGCCTTAAGGGATGCTGTAGCAGAATTCCAAATAATTTATGTATGTAATGAGGTCATTTGGCTGCAAAGGCTAGTAATATATTGGAAGGTTGGAAAATGTTATACTTATATCCTGTAAAGCTATACAGCAATCTAAAAAAATCACATGGCAACATCATAAACTAGAAATCCTGTCCAATATGATTGGACGTAGTACTGTCAGGATCAATTAATACTTCCTTATAAACATGTGCTGTATAACTGCTAAACTGCAAGACACGGATACCCTCGCCAAATCAATTCCAAAAACAGCATCTAAATCTTCCTAAAAAACGTTTTGTTTCCTTTCCCTTGTGTTGTACAAAAGGGGACAGGAAAAACGTATATAGGTGAAAATTTACCATTGACCACTGACTGTTGATGCCAACATGCAATACATGAAGCAAATGGTCTATACTAATGCAACATCACCATGACATAGCCCTAATCCCAAATCAACATGAACCAAAAGTTATCTTGTGAGATCATCAACAAGTGTTCTCATTTTCCGCTCTTTTCTATAGTGGCATGTGCTCATAAAGCCTCAAGCACGAATATCATTCTTGTGCCTCCAATTCATGCCATTTCCACTCTTCTATGACTACTGCGGAGTACTTAGATCCATAATATTCCACTCTTCGTCAGGGAGCACATGTTTCCTCATGAAAAGCATGAACAAGCTTACCTAGTCAAATCTCTCTTAATTCATCTTAAATAGCTGTGAGCCTGTGACTCCCACTCTCACCAAGATTTTGGATAGATACTGCAGTGTACATATAAATTGTCCTAAGATAAACATCTTCGCAGCAAACTTCTTCATTGATCTTACTTATAATCCAGCATTCTTATCCATGTTTTATGACCTTTCCAATGGCAGTCCTATAGAACTTTGCCGACCATCTTAAAGGTACATTGAGAGATAGGGTGGAAGCAAACATCTTGGTTTTATAATATATAAAAAACCAGACAGATGAGAGCAAACCATTACTGGAACACTTCAGCCGAAAAGTTTGGCCTTACCTTGGGCAATTACCAGGACTAAAGAAGATGAACTTAGTGATTTCACATTATATGAAATACTTATTTGTGATCCAGCATTGAAATAAAATGTCCAGTCCTGTTGCATATAATGGAAACACAACACTGTCAATATCGAAACCATCGCAATGATTAACTATTCAATCAGCTCATATAACTATATAAATAAAATCAGAAATTGCCTTGTGAGTGTTTGCTAGAAGAGAGGTTCTATAAGCTTCAGACCAAGCAGCGGCAACATCAAGGGGAGGAATTTTATGAAGCCCGTACAGCAGCGGTCCATCTTTTACAATATCTATCTCCTCCACCTGGAATGTACAAACTCATATTCCAACGGAAGCAAAAACTAGGATTGAAAGGAGTATAATAAATAAACTAAATTACCATCATATGCTTCACAAACAATGAATTAGGTTTTATCAGAACAGATGCATTTGGTCCAAGCTCCAGATTTGATGTCCCATAAACCCCCAATATCAACGTCAGAGACACTGGTTAAGTGTTAAGACAATGAAAATAAAATCTTCAGCACAACAAGCTCAAAAATCTAAAATGGAAAACAGTAGACAAAAATTAATTGCAAGAGCAGGGGTGTAACCCACTCCATCATTTCTCTTCGTGCTGCTATGTTCTATGCTAACCAGTCACATAATCACAAGAGCTTTCTTATCTGATTTTCAAAATTCAAATATTTTCAGTCTCATCAGTAATCTCAGGTAAACGTCATCTCTATAAACCTTAACCACAGAATTCAAATGTTCATAATCTTGGCATCCAGTTAAAATGGGCACAACAAATTGGGACACAGGGAGCAGCATTTACTCATTGATTCCATATTTGCACTTAATCGCATCAATAACGATCTCGCCAACCCACATACAAGGAAGGAATTAAATTAATGCATAAATTCGAAGCCATAAATTAAAACTCAAATGAATTTTCAGAAAAGTTACCGAAGAACCAGAAGGTGATAACAACGACAAGGCACGACCAGGTGTCCTCCGTGAACGATGCCGTCTCCTCATAGTTTCCTGCCTGAAAATGCGGCGGGAAAGCGTCATCTAAGCCGGTGCCGGTGGTGTGGTATGGAAACGGTTGGGGAGGCCGTCGATCGTCGTCGTCCACCACCACCTCCTCCTCGCGCACCACCGCCGGCGCCGTTTCCGACTCCGCTGCGATAAGACTCGTTGACTGAATCCGGTCCGGTTCTTCCATTTTAGGGGGGGGATTGCCTATTTTTAGAAAGGAAAAAAGTGGGGATTGGGGGGAAATGAGGCCAACCAATTGTTCAAAACTTGCAGTAAATTAAATATGGGATTGTACCTAACTTCGATTATTTTATTCACTTTGCTACCCCAAAGTCATCGAAAATAACGAATTGAGTAATTTTACTAGAGACGGTTAGTTGGGAATAGTGGCCTCTGGCTCTATGACAGTTATGCATTATTTACAGTATCTTTATACATAAAGATATTTGGACCCTGAGTTTATACCCTATTTCTACACCAAGTGTGCACTAATATTATCTGTTGGTGTAATACTAATTTTTGTTAATGCACTAATACTTTGTGTCAGTGTAAATTTTTGTTAATGCACTAACACTTTGTGTCAGTGTGAATCATCAAAATGTTGATGTATACCTTTAGTGTTAGTTTGGAGTACAAATTTTTGTGTAATTGTAGCATGGTTCTATCTTTACTTATTCCTATCAGTTTTGGACTTTGGTGAGAGGAGCAAGGTGAAGGAAATATATTATGATATAATCTCAATGTGGTTCTTAGAGAGCTTGCATCGTGTTCGATGCGCACAAGGAGATATTACAAATAATAGAACTCTCACACTGTTGTTGTCGGGATTCGACTCTAGTTTCCTTCTCGACTTAAATGGTTTGTTTGGACGAAGAGAGAAAATGATAGGAAAGAAAATAAAAAGAAAGAAAATGGTGAGAAAATAAAGTGAAAAAAATTATTGTTTGGATTGATAGAAAATGATAAGAAAATAGTGAAAAAAGTGAAATAAAAGCTAGAAGAAAATGAAAATGATGAGGGAGATCGGAGATGGCTTTGTACCGTTTTTATCCCCAAATTGGGTGAGAAAACCTTTTAAGCAATGTTTTGAAAACTGGACCGGACATCGACCCGGATGAGTCAGTGGGTCAAGAGCTAACCGGTCGAACCGATCAACTCGAGGGTCAACGACCCGGTCAAATATATGTAAATAATAATATTTTATATTATATTATTACAAATATAGTAAATAAATGCATTTTAATTTGTATTTTTTTACTTTGACATCTAGATTTTAGTTTCGTTGTACATATACTATTTTACACCTTTTATTTGTATTCTACTATTTTTATTATTATTACGGAGCATAAGTTAAAAGTGAATGTCAAACAAGCATCATTTTTCAAAAAGATAAAGACTACATTATCTGTTCTTATATACTATTGACATTTTAAAACTTATATTTAGTTGATTAAAATTTTTTAAAGAGCAAAAAGTGCAATACATTAAATTATAATCAATATTTTAAAGATAAAAATAATATTTTAAATATAAGTTTTATACTCATTTAGATAAAAAATAAATAATACTAGTTTTTTTTAATTTGACCTAATTTAAACTTTCATAACATAAATATGGAGTAAATTATGATAAACACATCGTGTATTTTTTAGGCTATTATATATTATCTAAACATTTTAAGGAAGTAATATATACTCGTACTAAATTGTATAGCTACGACACAAGTCTGTTATTAGCTCAGATGGATAAGCTCCATCTTAAGAAACCTTTGGTCAGGGATTCGAAACCGGACATGGACCTTAAATTTTTAACCTTGTTCAAGTGAACCCGGGAACCGGCCGGTCCTACCCGGGTCAGCAAGTTCGGCGGTTCTTCCGGTTTTGAACGGGCTAAATCAATACCGGGTTTTAGCATTGAACCGGACCGGACTTGTGACTGGGTCACGGTTCAACCGGTTGGACCGGACGGTCCGGTCCGGTTTTAATAACATTGCTTTTAAGTGGAACACACTCTTTTTTCTCTTCTATCTCATTTTGTCATGCAACCAAACACTACAAAAAATATGACTTTTTGTGGCTAAATTTTAGTAGCAAAATTATTATTTGCCACAATGTATAAAGATGGGACAAATATTTGTAGCAAATAAGATTTTGCCACAAAATATTTGACATATTGTGGCAATTGTGTAAAATTGCTACTATATCAAAACAATTGGACTCAAAGTTTTACCCCTTTTGAGGCCCATAATCCAAATAGGGAGTAACTGCACAAGTGGAGGAAAATCATTCACAATTGACTACGGAGTATATCTATGCAATCGTGACTTAGGGGCTGTTTGACAACTTCTGAATGGGTAAGTGCTGAACTAGTAAGAGGTCTGAACCATTAGGTGCTGAACTACTAAGAGGTCTGAACCATTAAGAGCTACGGAGTAGTATCTTGCTTAACTATTCAGAGGCAAATGTCTGATCAATTCAGATAAGAGGTCTTAACCATTCAGACTCTGTATAATACTTAACCATTCAGAGGCAAATCTCTTAACTATTCAGACATCTAAACCATTAAGAGGCTGAAACAAACAGTCTGAACCATTAAGTGCTGAACCATTCAGACATCTGAACCATTAAGAATTAAAAGGCTGAAACAAACCGCCCTTACCCTTCTTCTTCTCTGAACCAGACAGTTACCCAAGGGAGCAAGGGCCGACGAAGGTGACAACGAAGGGGCTAGTTTCTCGAGGGTGTGAATCACGAGTGTGCCTGTAACTAGGGGAGGAGTGACGCGACCTTCTGGTTGACGCTACGAGCTAGGCGGCAGAGAAGGACGAATGATGGAAATTTCAGCATCAAATCAAAGAACTTTGAGCGTCCAATAGTTTTTTTCTGGTATAGACTCTAAATCTGAGTTGTTCTTCAATTCCTTCCTCGTTTATGTCCAATTTTATGTCTTTTATCTATTTTACTACTATTGTGTGTATGTGTTACAGTCTGGATGGATTCATATTAGGTTTTGATTGGGTTAGAATTTGGATTAATTTCTAATTTTTTCAATAAAGATCTGAGTTTGGCTTTAGATTGTGATTAAAAGTTGGTTGGATTCTGTTTTTTAGAAATGCTTTTATTTGTTTTGTTGCCATGTGGTATCCAAATATTTTTAGATTTCTATTTGAAGTCAATGAGTGGGATGTAGAGGAGTTATTGGCTAAGGATGGGGAAGATTAGACAAATTATACAAATGACAATGGGGTAAAGGGTATAATTACTACACATGCTTTAATTTTAAGATTTATTTGTTCATTTGTATGGCCCAGGAACATAGTTTGTCCCTAAATGAGAATGTCAAAGCTCGAAAAAAGAATCAAAATAGGTTCGGAGTTGGTTTATGGGCTATAGATGTTTGTGTATATCTCTTTTGTTTATAAATGATGGTGTTAATTAAGCTGATTTTCACTCTTCAGATTTTTTAGCTGTTGTTTTTATTCTCTTGCCTTTTACTTGAATGAGGAATATAACTCCCGCTTCCTGAATGTTAGTTCTACTTCTAAGAAATAACTTGCCTTTTACTTGAATGAGCTAATTCAATACCTACTTGATTATTTGTCTAGTTACTGCCACTGATGTTGTTTACTAACATCACATTGATTTGCTGATATTTAGGAGTTCAAAGTTATGTCTCCATAGATCACTTTGAGGTTTCAAAAATGCCCTTCTAACGGCGAGTTGTAATTAGAATTTATGTGTCTGAAAATATCGCTACTAATGTCTCTTTATGGCTTTTTGAACAATTGTCTTCTTACTTTTTTTGAATTGATTTAGAATCCAAGCCATTATGAGACCACATCAAAGAATTTTGTTTTTCAACTTTCACCTTCTAGAAATGCTGGTACTCCCGGGCTCCAATTGAGATTTTTGCACGGGTTTTGGCTAGCTACATTATCCAGCAACAAATGGTTGAGAGACTTTTCAGACGCTATCGAGGTAAATCTTCTAAATACTAAAGATGCGTTCCCTCCGATTTTTAGTTTTCACCTTGTAGCAATGTAGGCACTCAAGTGTATGAAAGGAGGATGGACTGCGAGACTTATTAGGCTTTATACTAATTTGGTCAATGTGAAGGCGCAAATGATTTTTAATCTTTGCTGATAATTTTTTTATCTGGTTTTTCAAATTTGTTGCATTTTTAGAGTAAAACTTATTCGTCTAGAGAAAGTTCAACATCAGCTACACCAACAACCAAGGTTGGTATTACTTTAATACTACACAGTATATTTTCTTTGTGCATGTTTACTATATACACTATCACACACACAATGTCTTTATAGCTTTCCACCTAATGCAAAAAAGACTTTCTAGTATGTTTTTCAAGTATCTGCAATTTTTGGCTAGAGTAGTATGTTTTTAAACTAATCTTCAAATGTATATTATTTAGGTCCCAGTAATTCCTTTAGTTCTCTATCTACAACTAAAAAAGAAAGATGAGTAGCTAGGAATGTCTTTCTTTTATTGGCTGCATTTATAATTGTACTACAGGCCGTACCATGATATGTGACTTGTGAATGATTTGATTAGTAAACCTTGTTATGTGCATCTGCAAGAAACAGAACCTAGCAATCCACCTGCTAGCTCAACTCCAGCTCCTGCAACAACCTAAGTTTTTTGCTTTGGTATGTTCTTGCAATTTCTGTGTCCACATGTGTATATGGTTCTGTGTATCCTTCATCATTTTCAATATTTTCACTTTTAATATGACTTATCTACCATTTTCTCATTTAGATTTTTTATAATCTTATATAACACGTGTAAATCCTTGCATGTCAACTCCCGCTCATGCACCCGTGGCAATTACTGGGCGAGCTCAACCTTCACGTGAAGAACTTGGGGCATTTTGTTTGAATACATCTATATATAATCGAGAACTTATGTGTGCATATTTAATCTCTTAGCTTACACCTTATACATTTTACATGGACAAATCAGAAGATGTTTAGGGTCAGGCAGCTTCTAGTTTGTCGCGGGCAGCACCCTTGATGTAGTGGGAATCTGGGACATGGACATTGTTGTTCGACCCCTTCGTGCAGCTTATAACAACCCTGAGAGGGCTGTTCAATATTTATATTATGTAAGTCTTCCTGCTTGTGTTTGCATTTTTCTTGGGTAATGGGTATGCAGTTTTCATTTTTACATATAGAAGGATCTATATTGAGGTTTTAACAAATATTTCTGGGTGACAATAGTGAAATACGATTCTCATATATTTTATTAATTTCAAGGTTCTGAAATAACAGACAGGAGCAAATATGTGTTAGTTTTTCGTAAACTATAAACTTACTAACCAATTCCTTTACTTCCAAATAATCTTCACAATATAGCAAGTAGTACGTCCAGCATATGTTATCCTCCAAAACAAGATTTTCTTTTATTACCTTTGTTTCTATGACTAATTCTTTTATTACCTTTGTTTCCTTCATTTGCAGATCAAGACTCAATATATAAAATGTGATTCGTTTCCTCTTTCGTTGAGAATTACAATGAAGATTGAAGTGACAACATGATATCAAGATGTTGTCGATTAGAGGAAGATTTTAGGATACCTTAGTCATAAAAACATGTTTAGTATTTTTGTTTTTATTATTATTTTAAAACTCTATTATATTATTGTGAACCTTTGATTGTTTAGAACTATGGGTACCATATATTTTGTTTTTAATCTTAACATATGGCTTTTACTTGATTGTTTGGTTGTTTGGTGTTTTAATTAGTACTCCGTATTGTTTTCACATCACATATATATCATTAAATGTAAAATGTAAATACAATACAAATAATTATAGTATTTATAATAGTAATGATATGATACTAAAAAGAACTTGTAGCAAATTTAATTAGCAAAAATTTAATTTCTCACTGCGTTAGATTTGCCACAATAAAGTGATGATTGTAACAATTAAAAATTGTTATTAGACATAAACTTTTGTGGCAAAGTATAATTTGTGGCATCCTAAACTTGCTACTAAATATGAACTTTTGTGGCAACTAAAATTTGCCACTAAACATGACCTTCTGTGGCAAAGTTTTATTAGTGGCAAATCATAATTTGCCACAATAACCATTATATTTGTAGCAAATTTAATTTGTCACAAATACCTTTTGTAACGGGGTATCTGTGGCAACCTTGTGGCAAATTCCCAAATTGCTACAAATTGTTATTGTGGCTAATTCTTTATGTTTTGTGGCAAAATTTGGTGCCACAAAAAAACAAGTTTCTTGTAGTGAAAGAAGTGAAAATACTTCTTTTCTCACCTTCAATTTTTTCTTTCCTCCCTATTACTCATCATTCAAATGGAGCAGAAAAATTATAAGTGGTTGGAGAAAAATATAGAATTAGGTTAGATTACTATCATAAAAAATTAATAGTAAAATTTATTTAAAGATTTCTTATCAAATTTTTGATTTCACATTTTTCATGTGATTAATTAGATGGCATATTAGATGTTAAGGTCACTTAAGCCGGTCACATATAAGCTTCATAGATACCTAAATTTCATTTTATTTATAAAGAATAAGATATCACCTCAAATTGGAGTAAAACAAAGTCTTTATCTTCAAAATAAGAGTTCTATGTTTTAATTTCTAAAATAGGAGTTTGCATTTTGACATTATGTCATTGTATAGTGACATCTCACTGTATATTTTGGCACTATAATTGGTACTATAAGCATTACACTTATAGGTCAAAGGTTAAAAATTGTTGACTTGAAAAATTTAATAGTAGATAAATACTTTAGGACGAATGTAGTATAATTATTTGAGATAATATATTCTTATTTTTGACAAAAAAGGATTTATTCGAGGTAATGTATTTTTGTTTTAAGAGTAATTCACAAACTGTCCTTTTAAATAAGGTGTTTTCCTAAATTAGTCATCAATAAGCAATAATTACCAATGTAGTCTTTTGTAATTGAGATTTATTTCCTAAATAATCCTCTGCCAAAAATGCTTAATAAATGACAGTTAAATGGATGGTATTTTTGTATTTTCTATGATATAAACTATGAATAAGTTCTCAAAATGGTCTTTTCAAATTAAGTAAGTGACTACTAGAGGAATGAACCCACCCCGAGACCGCTCATGGGCTTCATTTCGGGAATACATATACTTAAAAATTATCAATTTGAAAAAATATTTAATTATAAAGGAACATTTTGAGACATGTTTTGATTTTAGATGATAGAAATACTAAAATGCCTTCTATTTTCCTGACATTTAATAGACATTTTTGATAGAAATTTATTTAGGGAAAAATATGAATTATGAAGGACTACACAAGTAACTAATGCCTATTGAAGACTAAATGGGAAAACACCTTATTAGAAAGACCCTATGTCGACCTCAACATAATGCCATGAATTTTTGGATCTCATGTCGGTTATTTGTTAAGTTATGAACACAATATAATGTATGAGTGGTATAAAATTTGTCAATATGTTCAGCAAATACTCAAATAGTGTTCATCAAGACTGACATACATAACAATCACTCCGGACGTTATAAAAGAAGTAGAGTAAAAAACAATGTTGCGTGTGTGTTTTGACGATTTTTCAATGGAAAAAGACAGTTACTTATATAGAATAGGCGAGTGATCATGTTGGAAAAATAATAAGGTAATTTTTAGGGGAAAAAAGAGTAATATAAGAGTAAAACATTGAAAATATACTAAAACAAGTTTCCATTTTTTATTCTCGAAATAAGAGTTAAAATACATTTACATTACCAATCATCTATACTATATTTAAAAAGAGGAGAATTCTCGCTTTTGTTTTCCCGCCCATACGCATATGACACAAATGGTAAGTGTTAAATATTGAAATGATAATTTGCCACGTGTTAGTGTAAAAGATGGATGGTAATTTTTATATATAAAATTTGAGAGTTGTGCTTCCGAAATTACGACACGTGGCAGGTCTACTTGGCATTTTTTTTTTTACAAATTATCCGCCACGTTTGATGACTTTGATAACATGGCAATTGTGACATGTGGCACACTTACTAGGCAACTTTTTGACATATCAGCACGCCATGTCATTAAGTGATATTTAAAAATATAGTTAAAAAAATATATATTCTATGGAAATTAAGTTTTGTAATGGTTACACACAAATTCCTAAGCATAATCGCGTTTAAAAACTTTTTTATCTTAATTCATTGTTGGAAAATATTTAAGTTAAATAAATCGAGAACACTTTCAATAAATCGAGAACACAAATTCTAGATGCCAATGGAAACCCTTACAACCATACCAAAAATGTTGTGTACCCTGTTTGGAATTTAAAAAAAATCGAGAACACTTTCAATTCCCCAAATATAATTTATTCTACTTTGTCGTTGTTATCCATTAATTAATAATTGTTGGAATTTTTGGCATTTTAATAGGCATTAAATGGACCAACTAGGGTATATTTGCCAATAGGTCCATTAACGGTTTTAACCGTTAATTAATGGACGTGTTTTATCTTAAATGAGATAAATGTTTTGACAAATATTACGCCAAAAATGGTAGAGGGTGAATGAGAAATTGATTCTCAGAGTTAACACGTTAATAAAAGAATATGGTGAGGATTGCAATTTTTGTAATTTTACTGAACCAATCTTCTTTTATTAATTTTACGTATTGTTTAAAATTAGTCCATTTTTACGGAGTTAACTGGCCATTAATCTCCAATTATTCGGGACAAATTTTAAACGGAGCGTAGCGTAACGGACGTGTTAATGGCTAATTAATCACTATTAACACACCACAAATGCCATGTTTAATACTAAGCCTTAATGGTGTGTAGGTTACACCTTTTAAAATAGCTTAGTTATAAAGGTAAAAGGCTCTCTCCATTTTTTTTGTGTGCTTCACGTGAGAAACAAAAGAGAAAAGAAAGGAAATCTTTCTTGTTTATTTTTGAGAGAGCTCTTGGTTTTCCGGCCAAATTTCCGACCATTCCCTTTAAAGTTTCTTTTTTTTGGTCGCCAACGTTCCTACGTTGTTCTTGTTCGTTGGTGTGTGGTTGGTCCGTACAATCTCCACACACGATAGCGGTTTTATCCTGGGAAGAGAGTGCCCACGTTTTTCCAGTACGGTAGGCGGGCACTACTACCTTAAGGACAACTCCGGCGACTCCGCTGTCCTTCCACGGTGTTGTGTTTTGCAGGTTCAGTTCATAAAGACCTCGCTGCATTCTGTCCTAGTGCATAATGTTCTCGCAGCCTAGTGCATAATGTCCTCGCAGCCTTGTGCATAACGTCCTTGAGTCGCTGTCCAGTGCTTAAAGACCTCGATGTCCAGTGCTTAAAGACCTCGCTGTCTAGTGCTTAAAGACCTCGCTGTCCAGTGCTTAACGTCCTCACTGTCCAGTCCTTAATATCCTCGTACAACAAGGCCGTTTGAAGATATAGCAATTTATTTTCAACTTTGTTTATTTTGTAATATTCTGAATAAATTATAAATTCAGAATTTTATTTATTTTTATTTTCCGGGGCCGTTCATCTTCCCCGTCCGTTATAATCCGTACAAGAATTGTAACAATCTTAAGGTAGTAGTCATATCCGTGCGCAATGGCGGGTATGGACGGATTCGGTTTTGACACTCACACCGGAAACGGGAGTAGTTCCGAGACTCCGGTTGTGAACGTTTCGGCTGGATTGGGTGGCTCTGTTGGGCAGACCACTCCGATCAACATTCCTTTCGGATCGAGTGCGGCCATCGGGTCCACTCCGATCACCACCTTTGTTGGATCGAGCGCGACTATGGGGTCCGCTCCGGTCACCTTGGTTATTGGACCAACCGCGGCTACGGCCGCAATGGTCACCCCGCTCGGACCGAATATGGTTTCGGCCATACCGGTCATTCCCTCACTTGGACCGAACACGGGTGTCTTCACATCCGCACCGGTCGGACATCCTACCGTCATGCTGCCTGCGAACTCTGTCAAAGAACCGACAAAGTTCGCAGGTGTTGGATTTAAAATATGGCAGCAAGGATGCTATTTTGGCTGACCACCCTCAACCTTGCGAGGTATTTGAGGGAGGATCCCCCTATTGTGGGGGAAACCGCGGACGAGCCAACAGTTCAGGCTAAAGAGGCATGGATAGCGAATAACTATACGTGCCTTAACCTTATCCTGAATTGCTTGAGCGATGCCTTATATGCTGTTTATAGGAGGGCTGCATCCACAAAGGAGTTATGGACTACACTGTCCAACAAATACCAGGCCGAGGACGCCGGTGCGAAGAAATTCGTAGTCGATAAGGTCTTGGATTTCAAGATGGTGGATTCCAAACCCGTGGTCAGTCAAGCTGAAGAATTGATTCTCATTTTTAATGAGTGCACTGACGAGGGAATGGGAGTCAGTGAGGCATTCCAAGTGGCGGCGATTATTCATGTGCTCCCGCGGGCTTGGGATGAGTTCCGGAGCTAACTCAAGCTCAAACGGAAAGAAATGACTTTAGAACAGTTGCTTGTTCGTCTCCAGATCCGTGAAGAGGGTCTCACTCGCGAGAAAAAAATAGCTGTTGCTAAGGCCGTTTGAAGATATAGCAATTTATTTTCAACTTTGTTTATTTTGTAATATTCTGAATAAATTATAAATTCAGAATTTTATTTATTTTTATTTTCCGGGGCCGTTCATCTTCCCCATCCGTTGTAATCCGTACAAGAATTGTAACAAAAATCGTGTTAGAAATATATTTACTTGAATCTAGAAACTATTTTACGTTGAAAAAAAATTTAGAATCGATAAAAATCGCAATCGATCCCGTGCATGGCACGGGTTAAAATACTAGTTAAGACATATTACCGTGTAGAATAAAAATGGTAATTTGCCATTTGTTCTATTACCGTATATATATAAGATAATTTATTTTAATCAATGGAAATAATGCCAAAAATTATAGTTTTTATTAATAAGGTATTTTCATTATACCTTATTTTTGTTCTAAGAATACAAAAAAAACGTAGTAATAATAATAATAATAATAATAATAATAATAATAATAATAATAATAATAATAATAATAATAATAATAATAATAATAATAATAATAAACGTGATAATAAACGTAATAATAATAACAAACATAGACCATAATTATACCTTATTTTGTGGATCTCGTACATATGTTTTAATCCACATTCATCAGATATCAGATCTGCAAGGCTGTTTCTTCCTATTGATATTTACACTTATAATCACACTAGAGCAGTCCTAGAGTTCCTCTAGGTAGCCCAATCATTTATTTACAACACCTCTTCCTATTCAGGTTTACTCCAACGACAATCTCAATTCGTTATTTACTTTCAAAACACAACAGATTTATATTTAATTATAACAAGGAAGATAACAATAATCAGATAGTCAATCATATAACTCAATTTGCGACCTAGTGTCGGGTATAAACACCTTTCACTTATCGTCATGCAACACATAGGGTCTCGGAGTCAATCTAGGTTTTGATTCGGAAGAAGCAAACAAAGAAGCAGTGCACCATTTTTGTCAACTCCGATGGATTTATAAATAATATTTTGAATTGAATGTTTTAAATTATTTTAAAAATTATTGTGTTTGGATGTCAATCTAGTAACAATCCGATCCGCTTGTCCTTGTATTCGGTTCACACGAGTTAGAATGTTACACAAATTGTATTTTCCAAACTTGTGAATTCAAAAGTAAGTCAATATTGTGTTCGACGAACTCAAGTTTAAAAAATTAAAGAATAGCGCAGTGTTGCACTAAAGGAAATTTGTTTGAAAATTGTGAATCTGTCTCCTTACTTTTTCATTGATTGGGAACCACCCTTTCATGCAGGGATGGCAACGGGTCAGGTTCGGGTCGGATAGTACTATACCCGAACCCGATCCGACTTTTAAAACCGAAACCCGAACCCGACCCGAAACCCGACATTCTAAGTCAAAAACCCGACCCGACCCGAACCCGACATTTCAATCCAAAACCCGAACCCGACCCGAACCCAACTTTTAACCAATAATCAATTCGACGTACCCCAATAATTTTAAAAGGATTAAATCTAATTTTTTTGTGTCTCTTTTTTGTGTCTCATTTTTTATTAAGAATTATAAAAAATGATTAAAAAAACCATACTTGATTTAGTAGCACTTTGTCAAGAGATTATACGAAGTGCTAATTATATCCATAGATAGGCTTTTATGTTATTAAATATTCGGGTTTGAGTTGGGTCGGGTGCGGGTTCGGGTCGGGTCGGGTAAAATTATAAACCCACACCCGACCCGACCCGAAGTCGGGTTCGGGTAAAAAAATTCGGGTTGGGTTCGGATTATTTTATTCTCCATTCGGGTTCGGATATTTTAGTGCTCGGTCGGGTCGGTTAAGCTCGGGTTCAGGTTGAATTGCCATCCCTACTTTCATGAAGATGTATGGTGTATGATGGTGTTAACTATTTTGACCGATTTTATTATTTTTACTTTGTCAAAATGATAAACGAGTCTAACAACCACAAAAATATGAACAAACTATTTTTGACGTGGAAATCCAAATTGGGAGAAAACCACAGGCCTTTTCCGGCAGTACCATGCCAACGGGGAGATTTTATTAATATTGGAGGTAGTACATAGTACATAATCTTGGCATTATAGCCATTGATGGAGCGTTTTAGCTCTCTAAAGAATAAATAATACAAGGAGTATTTTCTAAGTAATGTGAGAGAGTATAATTACATGGTAGTGTAGGGGAAAATATGGAAATTGAACCTGGTATACTAAAGGTGAATGATTCATTTTATAGTGAGAGATGACGGAGTAGTTACGGAGATAAATACGGTAGGGAGTGAATGGTGGGAGTAATAATGGTAGGGAGTGATGGATGGAGGTAGTTATAGTAATGAGTGAATGATGGATGTAGTTAAGGAAAATGAGTTGACTATGAGAATAGTTATGGTAAGAGGAGAAATATGTGGCTAAAGTTTGGTGATGATAATTATGGTAATATTAATTGGGAAATTCGGACCGAGATGTCCGGACCAAATAATATTTCCCATTAGTGTAGATGTGCAATTGGGTGTTTGAGTGAAAGAAAAAAATCTGTTGTTTAGGGCAATCTAGTTATTTGACGTAAAAAAAAATTTCCAAACCAAAAGAAATGAGAAATTCTTTTGATAACTTCTTTTTAGAACTTCTCCCTGGCTTGAGTGGTAGGAAGTCACTTCCAAAGATACATGGGGAAGTTTGCTGAGGTTCGAACTTCAATGGAGTGGGAGGCATTGACTCTTTGTTCATCATTAGTAGACTTGGCAATCGGGTCAATCGATTCGATTCCAGATTGGGTCTCTTTCAGATATATGTTATAATTGGTTCGAGTCGGCTCATTCTAGTTCAATTCGATTTGATTTTTTCTGATTTCTGTTTGGTTTTGGTTTGGTTAGATACATGCTCGGGTTTATACCAATTTGGATTTATACCGATTAAGGTTTATATCGGTTTCAGATGAGATCTCTTAGTATTAGTGTTCCTAATGTTAGCCTTGCGTGTACCATCCCCTTCCTATGTGTAAAGGAGGGTATATATATAAGTGTCACTAATAATGGGCCAGTATGTTCAACAATGTGTGTTATTATGTCACTATAAATTGTATATACTTTGTATCATAGTTTTGAAAATCGTACCCGACCGGCCGGTTCGGACCGTGAACTGGCGAACGGGCCAGTCAGACCAGTCGAACCAGTTTTTTTTGCAATTTTTTTCTAAAAGCATACCCACCATTGGGGTTTGAACTACAGCTGGCAAATCAGTCGATCAGGTCGGGTTCGGGTTCGGTCACTTTAAGTTCGAGTTATTTTGGGTTCGGATCAATTCAGTTTCGGGTTGAGAACTGTATGTTCATGACCTAGTGTCATCAGATTCGGGTCGACCCAACAAGTTATGACTTTGGTTTTTTAAATTTTTAAATTTACATTAACACTTACATTTTCTATTAAATAAATTTAAAATATAAAAAAAAGTATTAAATCTATAAAATTATTTTATTTTAAACTCTTAAGTAATTTTTAGATATATAAACCAATATAAGGAATTTAAAAATGCTTAAGTTTAGGAAAAAGTAAGATATTTATGTAATATCATTAAAATTTTGTTTGAAAATATAAATTTATACACTAAAAATGAGTAGTAAAGTGTATGATTTTGATAAATTCTTACTTTAGCGGATTGGTTAGATTGGGTTCGGGTTCGGTCAGGTTTGACCCATTTTTAGCGGGTCATTTCGGGTTCGGACAACTTCGGGTTCGGTCATCAAAATCTTTGTTCAAAACCCAGTGTTTTCAGGTCGGGTTTCGGGTGAAATCAGGTCAGGTCATTTTTTGTCAGGTCTAGTTTGAACCCAAGATCTCTTAGTCAGTTAGCCGAGTTCCTCACCATCCAAGCTAAGGTGATTTTTGTTAAAAGTTCACTTAATCTTTTATAACATTTCACAATTAAAAAAAGATTGTATAAAAATTCCTTTTTAGTTTAAAAAATATAATATTATATAACTATGAGCCAAACACAAAATCATTGATATAATTGATATTGTTACAAAATGTCTATTATGTAAAGATTTCATTTGAGTGTTTTTTTTAATATTAAACAATACTAGCATCTTACCCGTGCGATGCACGGGGAGCATTTTATTATTATATTTCTCATAAAAAATTAAAATTTAAGTAAGAGTTAAATCAAAGGAAAATAATTTCCTTCTATATACCTTACGAAATTCCAAAACAAAGATAATATTCCTACATAATATATTATTGATAAGCAGAAAATGAATTAAATGATACTAAAATACTCGTATTATTATTAATATATTACAAATGACATGTTTTTTTCAAAAAAAAAAACCATTGCAACATACTTCAAATATAAGAGTAAAGTGAACATCCATGATCATCCAACAACAACAAACTGTTTGGTGACTTCCGACTCTCTAACAACTACGAAGATTGAAGGGCGTAAAAAATTCCACTTTTCGATAAAATTAGAAAATAATGAAATTACTATTTTACTTTTCTTTTACTATATCTTTTTAAGGTGGAGAATTCTTTTACTGCGAAATATCTAAACATTTGATTAATTTTATGTTTCATACAAAGCACTTGCAAAGTACGGAGTATTTAGTTATTTAATTTGTATAATGTTTGATTTCAGGACGTAGAAATGGTACAATTAAGAATGGATTTCCAAAAGAGTTTTCACTAATAACATGTCTTTCTAAATTAGTAATATATAATTTTTAATTACCTACGTGATCTTTTATAATTGAGATTTATTCAATATGTAGTATTTGTAAATAATGTAGTTCAGAAAAGAATCAATTACGAACTACTTTATTCAATACGTAGTAATATGTAATTTTTAATTACCATACCAATTAATTTTAGAAAAAGTTTTTAAAATGATCAATTCTAAGGAAATACTTTCCCGAAATAAATTTGCTAAATTAAAAATGTATATTTTATTCGATTTCTATCGTCTAAATTATAGGCTTTTAATTATTTATGAATTGTGTATATTTAATGTATTGTTTAAATTTTATATTTAATTATATAGAAATGATCATTTTGAGAATATAATTTAAATTTAGACGATAGAAATGTCATAATATCTTTTAATTGATCACCATTTGCATAATATTATATATGAATGACTGCATGAGAAATAAATCTCAATTATTAAGAACCACATAAAATTAGAATGTTTTTAGAATTGAATTGGAAAAATACATTACTATACAATTTTTTT